GAGAGAAGAGGTGGCGGTCTCCCAAACATGATTTCATATGGGGTGAGGCCTTGGAGGTAAGGGGTACATCTCACCCTAAGAAGGGCAAAGGGGAGGAGGCTCACCCAATTCTCGCCAGTTTCAAGTTTAAATTTGGTTAAAGTTTCCTTTAAAGTCCTGTTCATTCTTTTTACCTGGCCTGAACTCTGAGGTCTATATATACAGTGTAGTTTCTAATTAATGCCTAATATTCTGGCTAAGGTTTGACTTGTTTTGGCGATGAACGCCGGGCCATTGTCAGACCCCAATATTAATGGCAAGCCAAATCGGGGTACTATTTCTGATACTAATTTCTTAGCTACTACCTGAGCAGTTTCTCTCCTAGTTGCGAAGGCTTCAGTCGTTCCTGAGTAGGTGTCGATGAACACGAGTAGATACTTAAATCCAAAAGTTCCAGGGCTTACTTCTGTAAAGTCTAGTTTCCAATGTTCCCCCAGGGCTTGGCCCCTTAGTCTTGATCCAATTTGCACTTTAACAGGAGGCCCAGGGTTAACTTGGGCGCAAATATAACATCTTGTTACCTCTTTGGCAGTTTTGTATAGTTCTGGGATATAATAGTCTCTTTTCAAAGGTTCAATCAACTTTGTTCTTCTTAGGTGGGTGCTCTGATGGACTAGAGAGATTAGTTTCCGACTTAAGGCACCGGGTACTAGGGTGCATCCATCCGGGAGGCGAATCTATCCAGGGGGTCTTTTTACCCCCTTTAGCTTACTGCATAATTCAAGTTCACCCGGGGTGTAGACGGGTGAGTCTGGAAACGTTCTGGGGGGCAGAACTGGAAGAATGTCAATGGGCCGCACTGGTTTTTGGGCAGCTTCCTTTGCAATTCGTTCGGCAAAGGCATTTCCCCGGGCTATCTCAGACTCAGCTCTCTGGGGACCTGGACAGTGTATGATAGCCACTTTCTTAGGCAGCCAGATGGCTTCCAGGAGAGCTAGGATCTCTTCTCTGTTCCTGATTTCCTTCCCCCCTGAGGTGAGTAATCCTCTCTCCTTATAGAGTGCCCCATGAATATGTGCAGTAGCAAAGGCATACCTGCTGTCTATATAGATGTTAACTGTCTTCTCCTTACCCCATCGGAGCACTTGGGTCACAGCGATGAGTTCGGCTTGCTGGACTGATATTCCGTGGCTCAGGGCCTGAGGCCAGATGACAGTCCCTCCGGCAACTACTGCCGCCCCAGCATACCTGACTCCTTCTGCGACGACGTGTACAGTGTGGCATCCGGCTGTGGCCATGGGACGTCAGTCAGGTCTGGCCTGCGGCTCTGGCCTGAGGCAGGCGATGTTTTCCAAAAGCTCAAGACAATCATGTAATGGCTGCTGAGGGTCATCATCAGGCAAAAGGGTGGCTGGGTTAAGAACAGAAGTTTTCAAGAATTGTACTTGTGGGGGATTAAGGAGAAAAACCTGGTATTGAGTGATCCGTGCATTTGAAATCCAACGACCAGGGGAGCTGTGGAGCATGGTCTCCACTGCATGGGGGGCTATAATCTGGATAGTCTGCCCTAAAGTCAACTTCAGGGCTTCTTTGGTGAGGATAGCTGTGGCCGTAATGGCCCGCAAGCAATTAGGCCACCCTGCTGCAACACAGTCCAGTCTTTTGGAGAGGTATGCAACAGGTCTCTTCCATGGTCCTAAAGTCTGGGTGAGGATCCCCTTTGCTATACCTCTAGTTTCAGTCACAAAGATTTGGAACGGCTTGTCTAAAGTAGGCAGAGCCAAAGCAGAGGCTGTGGTCAAGGCTGTTTTTAGGGCCTCAAAGGACACTTTCTCTGCTTTCCCCCAGTGTAAGTCCTCAGACTTTCCCCCAGTGCTGGCATACAGGGACTTGGCTAACTGCAAACCCTGAGATCCAGAGCCTGCAGTAGCCTATGGCCCCGAGAAACTCTCGGACCTGCCGCTTGGTGGTGGGTTGGGGTATTTTTAAAACGGCCTCAGTTCTGCTTGATGACAGAGTCTGGTGGCCTCCTTGCAGCTTATATCCTAAATACATTGCCTGGGAAGTGCAGAGTGGAGCTTTCTTAGCGGACACCCGGTATCCCTTAACCTCTAATTCTTGTAATAAATCTTCAGTGGCCCACTTACATTCTACATCTGTGGTAGCGGCTAAGAGTAAATCATCTACATATTGTAAAAGAACAGTCTCTGGATGTCTCTGATGAAAGTCAACAAGGTCCCGGCTCAGAGCCTCCTCAAACAATGTGGGTGAGTTCTTAAATCCCTGCGGCAGTCTAGTCCAAGTCAATTGTCCTGAATACAGTTTATCAGGGCCCTCCCATTCAAATGCAAATAGTGGTTGACTCGCCTTTGCTAGGGGGAGAGTGAAGAAAGCGTCCTTTAAATCAAGGACGGTGTATACCTGGTGGCTAGGCGGCAGTTGGCTGAGGAGGGTGTAGGGGTTGGGAACGATGGGATGTATAGTTTCAACACGCTTATTTACTTCTCTGAGGTCCTGTACTGGCCTGTAGTCTTGAGTACCTGATTTCTGAACTGGAAGCAGCGGGGTATTCCAAGGCGAATGGCAGGGGACTAAGATCGCTTCGTTTAAGAGCCTTCAAATATGCGATACCGGACTTAGCACAACAATAGGAGGCTGATGGGTTGCTAATCAAAGGGCGGTGCTGTAGCAGCAAGAAATCTTGTAAAAAGAAGAGTTAATAAACTGAAAATTACAAAAATCACAAGAGATATTCAGAGACCAGAGCGATCAGACAATCAGACAAACTTGACGGAAGACCAAGGCAATAGGAGGGCAACAGCACATTCGACCGGTCCGGACTAACATACACAATACAGACAGACAAAACAGACTACAGGCAACACAAAAACGCTAGCATATCAGAAACTGAAACAGGTTCAGGGTCAGGATCTGGACGCGGTCGTGCCCCGCCGGGAGCAACCAGGGCCGTGGGTCTTAGGGAAAACTTCCCTTCTCCTTCTGGGGATGATCTCCCTGGGGCCTCCAAATGTTGTGGGGTGAATGATTCTGAGACCCACGGAGCCAATTGAGATTAATTATGAGCCTTTATTAGCTGGCCGGCAACTGACTCTCTACCACGCAGGGTTAGAGATCAGCCCTGAGCTTCTAGAGAAGGCAGCTTATAAAGCCTCCTACTACATCCTTGAATAAGCAGATTACAAGAAGCAGAAGTTAGCCATTAACGTTTTGTACAAAGATAAATGTATCCGGGGAACTCTCAGATCAAACAGGGCCTAGTAGACAGTTTAATTATTTTCACCTTGGAATGTTGCACTTCTCCTGGGGCTGGCGCCTGGAGATATCACCTCCCTGTGACTGAGTTACTGCTTGCACCTGGAGATACTGCCCTCCCTGAAACTGGAGAATTTCCACTTTTACAATAAAAGTGAAAACTATATATTGAAAAGGATGTTTTAAATAAATAGGCAGTCTTCTGTCACTTCTGATTACTATTCCATTGTCATATAAATGTATACTATTAATTCTCAAATTAATAAATAGAATATAAATTTATGATGAAAATGGCAAACATATATTGTGTTCATAAGGCTGGTAAAGCAAGCTGGGTGAAAGTGGAACCTTAGAATACATTTTATGTTATATAAAAACCCCAACCTAAATCCTAATCCAACAAATGTGCAAGACTGATTCTTCAATCTTAATAAATATTTGAGAGATAACATTGTAAATAATTAATATATGTGTGATTCTGTTACCAGAGAGTGAGGATCCTCTCCCGGCACATTGTCCAGGTTCTTGATGTCTTGAATAAAGAATTGAGCAAGACACTGAAATATAGTAGAAAAGAAAAGTTTTATTAGAAGGGAAAGTACACTTCCAGACTTAGAAGCGGACCTGAGCAAGAGAAGTGTGGCTCAAAAGGCCTGATAACAAAGCCTTGGGAGTTTTTATTCCTATTTGCTGTGGGTGGTTACTTTTCTTAGAGGAATGGGCTTCCTTGATTGACAATTAAGATTGACAGGACTCAGAGATTCATCATTTTGCTTTCTGCACATCTTTGTTTCCAGAATTAAGTCTGTTATAGTGATATTTATGAATTTCCGAGCATATGCATCGTATTATAAAGATGGCATAATGAGGCTCAGGTGAGTTGAAGTTCCTTGTGTCTTCACTGAGCAGGTGTGAGTGGCTGGCTTAAATTGGTACCTAGTTCTCTGCTTATTTGTTTCTTTGTGTGAGTTAAAAAAATGCTTTTGGCTTGCTTAATTGTGGGCGGTTTAGAGCAGACCCCTTCTAGGATAGGATGACCTCAGTGTCTTTGGAGGCAGACCCAAAACCCCCCAACTAACTTTCCTGCCTAGCTCTTTTCGGGACATGAGGTCTCTTCTTTCGTATCTGCTTCCTTCTGAGAACTGCTGTAGTCCCTGCCTACAGGGGTTTCATGGAGCTCGTTCCCTTTCTGCCTCATTCAGGGTGGGGTCTTGGGTTTCCTGCTAAAGTGCCACCTCAGTCCCTAGACAAGGAAAAGAAGATATATTATTTAAATCATATATCTATTAATTTCTATTATTGATTTGCCTGTTAAGTGAATAAAGGGAAACAAGCTTGGTTAATATATTTCTTAAAGAGTAAAAAAGACCTTTGGCCTAAAGTCCCCTCCCCTCTAAGACTCTAAGGGCTCTGTCTGGCCTAACACCATATCTGCTAACAATGGGCTGATGACCCTTATCAATAGCCGGAGGATCTGAGTTGCCAGTTTTCAAGGCAATTATCAGGATTTGAGGAAGAGGGCCTTTTTCCCTAAGAAAAGACAAGAACTTAACTAGGTTTACTAAAAAGATTAAGAATTTTACAAGTGATGTCCCATCTCAATTTTTTATTGTTTCATTCTGCTTGTTTTATGTCATTTACTGATCAGGTTTTCATTGTGATTAAGCATTTCTGTCAGCTGTTAGGGAAACTGACACAGTTTTTCTAAAGCCAGATTTCTTATCTGTTGGCTCTTCACACAATATACAATGGGATTCATCAATGGAGGTACCAGAAGGAAAACATCAGCCATGAGGACCGTAATGATTGGTGAACTGTGTTTGGCAAACCGGTAGATGAAAGCTAGGGAGATGATGGGAACATAGAAGATGAGCACGGCACAGATGTGGGAGACACATGTATTGAGGACCTTGAGTCTTTCCCTCTGGGATGCTATGTTCAATACTACTTTCAGAATCAGCATGTAGGAAATGAAAATAAATGTCAAGTCTGCGATGCCTGTGAGAGCCACAAATAAGCCATAGATGACATTGACCTTGTTGTTAGAGCAGGACAGCTTCATGACATCCTGATGGAGGCAGTAGGAATGGGAAAGGAGGTATTCCTTACAGTATCTTAGATGTTTTAGTGTGAAAGGGAAAGGGAGGATCAACAAAACATTTTTGAGAGAAAAAGCAAGCCCTATTTTGGTGACTCTGGAACTGGTCAGAATGGAGGTGTATCTCAGAGGATTGCAAATGGCAATAAAGCGATCAAAAGACATAATGAGAAGTACTGATGACTCCATAGCTGAGAATCCATGAATGAAAAATTCCTGGGCAATACAGGCATCTGAGGAAATTCCTGGAGCATCGAACAAGAATACTCTTAGCATGGTAGGGAGCGAGGAGAGGGACAATCCCAGGTCAGAGACAGCCAACATGGAGAGAAAATAGTACATGGGTTCATGCAGAGAAGGCTCTGTTTTTATGAAAAATAGGATGGCACAGTTCCCCAAGATGGCGACAAGGTACACGAGGCAAATAGGGATAGAAACCCAAATGTTGGCAGGATCCATCCCTGGGATCCCAATCAAGAAGAAGGTAGAAATTTCAATTTCAGAGGTATTGAAGGTGGGCATGCCAGGTATCTGAGGGAAGCAAGATGAGAGGCTCAGGAGAGTCTTCTTGCAGCGGCCCGAATAGATTTGCTCAAACGCCAGACTATCTTATTGCAATCATTGAGGTCTTGTGAATCCAAGTGATATATACATAATTCTTAGATACAAACCTAAATGGAAAGAAATACATAGAAAAGTAGACATCAATATCCAACTAAAAACAAAAACTGAGAGAAAAGGAAATCAAATTGGCATCAAAACGGAATCTTACAACAGATATGGATTAGAGCAGATATAAGTTCTATGAGGACTGATTGGTCAACTTAAATAACTGCATAGGGGCTTATTTTCCAATTCAAGAACTTGAGACTTTATTATGTAAATACTACAATCAATGTACTATTAAGAATTTATTTAAAATTTCAATGAATTTACATAAAATTCAGAGATAAGTATTTATACAATGTTCTCTGATGTAAACATGGATTTTATTTCCTTTCCCCAAATCTTCTTTTATGTATTTCGAAAGTATGGTTATTTTCTCCATAGTGGATTTTATATCTTTTATCAATTTATTTTCAGAATCCTTATGACTTTGTTGCTATTATTTAGAGAATCATTTATTCTCCATTATTTTTCTATTTTTTTTTAATGATTACTAGTTGTATAGGGAGGTAATACAGTTTTTTGTTGTAGAAGCCTATTGAGTCCATGCTTGTCATTCTCTTTTGGCTATTCCCTTCCAACCATAGATCCCTGAGGGCTTCTGCATCTTCTTTTGTCTCCTAAACCCCGTATACACCTCTAATCTTTTAATAAACACTCCTCGGTCGACTTTTCATGTACATCTATCTTTTTTTTTTTTTTTTTTGCTGGCTGGCACATGGTCTTTCATCCCTTTTAGTAAAAATTTCTTCCCCTCTTCTAGTCTTTAGGATGTTCTTTTTATCACTGATGTTCTGCAGTTCAACATGTAGTATGCAAGTGGGGATTTATAATTAATTTATTTTGCTTGGCACTTAGCGTTTTCAACCTGAAAATTTATGTATTTCTTCATTTTTGAATATCTCTGCGATTATAACTTTCAACATGGTTTATTCAGCATTATATCTAGCTGAAAAATGTTGAACCCTCTCATTCTAACTTTCTAGTTAGATGGCTTCATATTTTCAAACTCTTCATTTATTTTTGTTGTATTTTGGTGCATCTTTAATACTACCTTCTTATTTACTAATTCTGTCTTCATTTGTGTCTGGTCTCAAATATATTCCAACTTTTGAGTTTTATTTCAATTACTCTATTTTTCTTTCTAATGAAAGTTATTTTAATAACTTTCGATTTCAGTTTATACCTGTCAATCCCCTATAATTTTTCATTAATTTTATTGTTACTATTCTGCATTTATTTTTTGAAGATCTTAAGCATGCCTACTTTGAAATTCATTTTAAGTTGCTTTAGTTTTTCTTTTCTCATGAGTATATATTCTCATTACTGAAATTATAGTTTCTTTCTCAGTGTTAGGCTTCATATATGTTTTGAAATTTTACTTGTACTCTCATCTTGAGTGGAAATTTCCTTGTTTGTTTGATAATTTATTTTGTTCATGCCCCACGGTTACATGTGGTAGTTGGCTCTTCCTCATTTCCTGAAGGTTGTCAATTGTATTAAATGTTTTTATAATAGTTAATAGATCTTGTTTCAAAGGAAAATTGAGTACAATTTTGTCTATTTTTCATCCGCTACCTTAAGTCTAGCTTGTTATAGGTAGCAGACTTGGGCTATGACAATAGCTATTTCTACCCTTCATGTGGATTAAGCGCCTCATGTCTCAAGCAGGGTACTTTAGACTGGTTACTTGTCAAACATAGGACACTATCATGCTGAGTCCCCAGAGGTGCTGGGCTACCAATCAACAGTGTATCTCCAGATCAGGAGCCAAGTGGGTTTGTGGATTCAACTTCAACACATAATTATGTGTTTTTATACATTGTATCTCATCATATCTATTTATCTGTCTCTCTATCAATCATGTGTTTTCTAGCTATTTTTTTTATATCTAAGGATCATGGCAATATTTTTTTAGCATTTTTATATTGTATCTATTATTGCTATTTTATTTTATATCTATTATTGTATCTATTATTATTTAATGTGGAGTGGATTGATACATCTGATTCTACTCACTGCACCATTTTAAATAAAATCCATTAAAATTTAAATACAATTTTAGAAATATAACCCATTAAAGCTTATGTTCAAGAAAAATTGATTTGGTTGAGAATTATTTGATCCTGTGACCTTTGTAAAATAACAAATTAATGTACTAATTTATTAATACACCAGAGCTAATTGCATGTTTCATCATCAATCCTTTTCATGAAGACTTTGATAATATCTTTTAGATCTAAAATATTTAGGCAGTTTCTTAGTATTATTATTCTTATCATTATTTATACCTTTGATCATTTTGTTAGTATGATCCTGGTATCATGACAAATTTTTTTCTTTGTCAAAATAAGATTTTAATTTGAAAGTCATTTGAAAGACACTGAGTAAGGAAGGAGACTAAGACTCAAGAGATGTAAATTTCTAATTTTTATTCTGTCCGAGCCCATCAGCAATCTCTGACTTGCTAAAAAGTTGCTTTCTTTGGTAATTCCTATTTTTAGCTTCCTGGAGAGAGATCTTTTCCCATAAGCCATCTTCAATTTTTTTTTTTTTTTCTAGAGTAGAGCTTTATTTCCAGGAAACATATGTACTGGAGATGGGTATTTTTTTTTTTTTAAAAAGTAGGTCTAATATGTTTATCAAAGTGGGAGTAGGGCAGAGGTGAATTGGAAAGATTCTGTAGAATTTTTTCATCATCTTGCTGCAACCAGAAATCCATATACGGAAATGACATCCAAGAACACGGTCCCAGATGAAGTCGTTCTGTCTTTGTCTTGTACATACTACTTGATGGTCCTCTTGTTAAAGCTGTATAGCACGCAGCTCCTTCTCTGGACCACTATCTTGGAAGGAGGCTCTGTAAATCTCTGTAGTTTTAATGTTGACAGCAATTCCATAAATTATTGGAAAGTGATTTTCAATTTCTTCCAGGTCATTTAATTCTGTCACACATTATAGCACTAAGTGAATGTCATCTTGTCTGTCAAATTCACTAAGTTGTTGAATAAGTTTTTATGACAACTGCCTATCCTTACTGAAGCTACCCACAAGGTGCATTTCTAGCCTTCTACATTGAACATGGTCAGAACAGGATTTCATGAAGTTCATGACCAACGGGATCTCAGCTTTGGTGTTGGTTCCATCACAATGTATCAAACAGGGAGCCCCATTACCTCCTGTGTACCTCAGGACCACAATGTGACAAGTGATGGCATCATCAGAACCCAGAATGGAGATGGAGCCATCTTTTGGGGAGATCATTGCAAGCTCTCTTTGCTGAACATACAGAAGGCCCTGGGATCCCTCTTACTGAACACACTGACTTCTGAGAAGTCTGGCTCTTTCTTCCTGAAGTGGGTAGGCTTGGACAAGGTCCTTGGTGAACTGTGGCAGCGGCAACCACAACCCCTCTAGCAGTAGCGGCACCATCGTGAGGCTCCTTCCCTGTCGTGACAAATTCTTAAAAGCTCACATTTCCTTTCTTCTTAACTATTTTTTTCCCCCTGTACTTTTTCTCTCATATAATCTCAAACTCTAATTACCATAATCTATCCTCAATCGTTTCTGAGCTGCTGCCTTTTCTTCCTGAACTTTTGCTGCCCTCTGAATGCATTTTCTGGGCTGAACCTTATTTCCAACTTCCTATATTTATTTTCCTCTGCCTAAACTACTTCCATTTCTGAGTTGTCTGTAAACATTTTATTGACATTTATTTTCCTTAAAAAATGGGATGTCAAGGAAACAGAGAGACAGAAAGAATGCCTAGAAAGTTCTGGATTATATAATAAATTGTATGCATTAAAAAAGAAAAAAATAAGGAAAAAAACCTGGCAGATGTTTGGATATTTTTTCACCTTAGTTTGGCTCTCATATACATTCATAAAAGGCAATGAATAAACTATTGTTATGTGACTAAAACCACTTTGATATATGTCTGCCCAAACACTAATTCGGTTGTGTCACATGATACAACAACCAACAAAGGCTATCTGTTAAACCTGGATAGTGTCTTCCAGTTCCCCAAACTTGCTTCTGATGCTAATCTGAAAGAAGTAGGATAAACGTTTAAAAGGAAACTGAGGTTTTATTTCCACGAGTATTATGCAAGAGCTTTGCTTGTTTGGTTTGTGTAACCATGAGTTAAATAGAGTTTAAAAAAGAGATGAACCGAGAATTGGGAGTTCTTTCCCTTCAGGGCAAAGGTGTCAAAGTATGTTTAATGTTGAATTTGTTGAGCTAAGTGAGGAGATACGTGAGGAGAATGTTATTTTTTCTGTCTGGAGTCTCTCTCCTGCCTGGCTTGTCTGTTGAATTGAACTCATGCAGTTCAGGCTTCATCTCACCAGCCCTCTCCCAGCAGTTCCTCCTCGGGTATACGAAAACTACTCCTCTTTCAATCCCCACCCACTCCGCCCCTCGATGTTATCTAACAAACTTTCTCCCAAACTTCATAAGTTGCCAATAAGTTGGTATTATTTTTGACATATAGTAATGTCTTTAATAGATCTGAATCTTTTAATCAATTTAAACATTTTGAAAACCGAATTATAAATCGCTCCATAACAAATCCTATTAATAACTTCAAATCAGTTTTCTTAATAGAATAAAAATTACTTTATTACTGGTCAATCAAGAAAAATGGAGTAATCAAAAAATGTGTAACCAGAATGTTATTTACTATTTATTGTTAATCTCTACTTCTCCTGAACTACAATCAATCAATCTATCAATCAATCAAATTTAAATAATATCTCTTTCTTTAGAAAATGCTATGCTTTTCTGGAAAGTCTATTTTATTTTTGCTTTGAAATGTGACATTTTTAAAGAAACTAGAGTAAAGCAAAACATTGCAC